TCGTGAAAGTTGAAAAAGAAAAACAAATAAAATATTTGGATTTATCTCACGAGATTGTCGATATGTGGAATGTCGATTCAGTGATAATTGTTCCGATAGTCGTATCTGCTCACGGATTGATAGCCAAGAGCCTCGACCAACACCTTAAGAGGCTCACGTTGGACGGCTGGATCAAGGGTCTGATACAGAAGGCAGTCCTCCTTGACACGGCTCGTATAGTGAGGAGGTTCCTATCTTTGCAGTCCTAACCACTGGTGTCTTGGTACCTGTACCCGATGTCGGTGGTCTACTATTTTTTATATTTTTAAATGTATTTTTATTTATTTTGTAATATATTTAAAAATGTAATTAATATGTATGTATAATTTAATAAAGAGAATAATAATAATAATATATCTCACACATCTCACACACGGCCGTCTGATCCCAAACTAGGCAGAGCCTGTACTATGGTAACCAGACCGCTGATAAACATACTTATATATTTTTAAATACATACATATTATAGATAAATTACACCCAGACACAGAACAAATGACCGTGCTCATCACACAATATTTGTCCTGGGTGGGAATCGAACCCACGACCTCCGGCTTAGCAGTCAGGGTCACTAACCACTAGACCAACAGGCCCGTCAATAATAATAAGATAATATTATTAATTGAATCTTAAGATAATATTATTAATTATTACCTGCAAGGTGAGTGAATACTTTGACTACCGGAACTACTTATTTAACTAAATGATACATATGGGGAAAGCAAGTTTGATAGAAAAAATTGTTGTGAAAGTATTAAGTATATAATATTGAGGCATATTTTTATTGGATCTAGTAAGCAATAAGAGAAAGTCATACATCATGGAATCTGTTTACTATAAGGAGATTTCCGTCTTTCACTTCAGATACTTATCTACTTTACGCCAGTAGGCTGATGGGTAAAGACTTGCGCAGAAGACGCTCTCGTTATATATATTTCAATCGTGACAAGTCAAAGAAACCAGAAATTTTACACAATTGTGTGTGTTACACACCTTGTTGCTGTATAAAAGGAAATATTAATAATTATAAATACTATTGAGCATTCCATTACTATCATCAATCATCAACAGCCTTTAACAGTCATAGACCTCTCCTTAGAAAGGAGGTTTTGGCCTACTATACCTACTACGCTGGCCAGGCCGGCCATGGCCGGGTTAGTATAGTTGGTTTCAAGCTTTCCTTCTCTTTGCAGTGATGTTGTTCTTCATAGTTAACTCCCTTAGGCGGCTATTACGACACCCATGGGATGAGTATCTTAAATCGTCACCACACGGTAATACGACCTTCCAATATAATTTCTTATTATATACGAACTTCCACTTTTATTTTTTTACAAATGAATTAGCAAATAAACAAGTCTTTCTTATAGCAACCGATAGTCATTGCTTATAAGCACTTGCTACGTTGCACTACTGATGTCCTTTTTGCCTTCAAATGCAGCCCTACAAACCTCTATTTTCTAATCTCACTACAATCGACTCTCGATATTTTAAATTTCAGAGAATAATAAGAACGTCGTCATATCAAGAGAAGAAGGAAAGGTTCTGATTGTCGTAATTACTTGATAGTAACCGCGTGTAAAGTTCCGGAATGATCGTAGTCATTATCTGTTCTCGTCCGCAGTCCGGGTAGATAAATTTTCACAACCAAGGAGTTGGGTACCTACGTGACCGTTTACCGAAAGTTTCTCTGACAGAAAATCAAATTATCAGGTTTTGGACTGTAAAGACTACATTATTATACAATTTATTTGATTTTACGCAAGTTTTTCTATGACCTAACCTTTACAGGTATGTTCGAATTATCGAAGAATTGTATTAACAAGAGTAAACTGTTGTAACAGGAACAAATTACACAGCTTAGTATTATCTGACTGCTTTCTGATTGAAGGAAGGGTGAAAGGGCGTAGACGTAGCATCTCTTATTCCCATGTTTTTTTTGAAGTTTGGTGTTAAAGATATGCTACAGAAAAAAATACTTCAATGCCATGAATAAAAATTCATTTCAAATAACGACCAATTAATACTTGCGTTTTACGATGTAATAATTTACAAAATCGTTTAATCGGCTTTCTTGGTAATCTGATGTAAACTTAAGTAGTTTTTAGATATACAAAGTAAAGTTACGACAACCGGCGTGTTTGCAATTTTACCTTAAAATTGAAAATATCCCGGGCATTAATGTACCTATATTACTTTTGGTCGATGAAAAAAGTTTTGGCTGTACAACGTGTGCTCTTTTTGTGCTGATGCATACTTCTTGACCACACAATTTTTTTATTATAATGCCAATTTTAATGACTCCTTGACTATACGCCTCTTTTATTTTATTTTTTTCTTGCGGGGGTGGAAAATCCCTTCGGATCTCCGGCTCTTCGGGGACACAGGAGCCAGGAGTATGTGGTGTTTCCACTAAAAACCACTCCGACAGCCGGTCTCAGGTGCCCTGCTCTGTACCCGGACCATCCGATTTGGTCGACCAGGACCCCGTGTTCAGACAGTCTTCCAGCGTATGCTAGGCGGAGTCCCAGTCGATTGCGCAGTGCTGGCATTGTGCCGAAGCAACCATGCCCAGTGAGTACGCCCTAAAGTAAGCAAAAAATCTTCCTCTTAAAGCTTATAAAGTTTTTATAACTTTTAATGAAGGGCATGTGTTTTTATAATCTATTAGATTTTGCTATTAACTTATATATCCTTCGTTAACTGTTTTTTTTTTCTAGATGAAGAGCAACCCTTTCTATACTGTACTAACTGACTGTAAATACTTTAAATTAAATTAATATTTTTAGTCTGGATTAGTCTGGGTGTTTCTATGTATAATATATATGTATTTACAAAACAAAGTATATAATGAATTTATATCAGTTGTCTAGTACCCATAGTTCAAGCTCTGCTTAGTTTGGGACTAGATGGCGTTGTGTAAATGTAGTATTACTATTATTATATCACACCCAGACACAGAACAAATGACTGTGCTCATTACACAATATTTGTTCTGGGTGGGAATCGAACCTAAAACCTCCGGCTTAGCAGTCATGGTCAGTAACCACTAGACCCGTCGATTTGTCCACCTGGCAAATTGTACTGAATAGCTTTAAAAAAATGGATAAACAACTTGGTGACGACTTCAAAGCGCCTCAATTATTTTCTTTCATCTCTCTAATAAGTTTTAGTTGAAATAATTTCTGCAAATTCAAATGGGAGCCAGATTGTTCACAATCAAGAACTATTGTATTATTGTAAGTCGGTGTAAAAATCGAACGACATTGTGTATCACTGTTGAATGTCTCGGTGGTAGTAGTGTATGCGGCTGCTGCGCTTGAAGTTTGGATGTGTTCTATGTATATCATGTATGTATTTACAAAAAGTATATAAGTATTCTATCAGTCAATCTAGCTTTCATAGTACAAGCTCTGCTTGGTTTCAAACTAGGTGGCGTTGTGTGTTAGATGTCCGAAATATTACTATAAACACCCAAAAAACAACTGTAGACTTGAGAATATCCTTTTTTTTTGAAGTTGGTTATAGACCTATTTACATGGAAGGAAACTACGTGACTAATTATTTTTACTAACATATGTAATTCGTGATCATTTATTTCGAAATCCTTACATTACTTTACTTACGTGAATATTGATGTTGTTAATGATGTGACTACAAGTCTTTCCATTACTTGAATACGCTCAATCGATATTCAAATGAGTCGATGTAAAATAACATGATCGTGTCTATTAGATTGCAATGACGGGTTACAGGTTCTTAACCCACTTTATGCAAATAATTGAACTCACGAACATGTAAAAATACGCAATTGTTAACGTTATAGAAAAGTTTTACAGATTTTAATGCTCCTATTTTAATCTGTATTCCTCGTTCGTTAATTTTCTACTTCAAAAGGTGGAGTATTTATTTTTATTTAAGCCGTACCAGCCTGGAGAAGAATCGAAGAAATTTTGATTAAAAATAATTATTCAAATCAGTTTACAAAGGCCGAAGATATTCTATAAAATCCACACAGTAAGAAATATTCAAAAGAGCTGACAACCAAGCCATTTTGAAAACGAATGAAGCATAAACAACTGCTAAAAGGATTGTTCAAATGCATACTTATTAGATGTGACATTAATGTAGATCTACACGTCAGTCTATCTATCAGAGTGTCCAAGTGTTCAGGAGATCTTTTATAAACTACCGTTAAAAATTTCCTGTCACCACCACAAAATTTTAAAAGATACAGTTTACCAACGATCTCCGCCTATTACGAAATGGTTTTAAGTGGCTACCATTTAGACTCATTTCAAGTCAAAGTAACCAAAACATGGAGTATTGGTTACTCTGACCCGTGAGCAATGCGGTATGTGCAAACGTGACCTGCGCGACCTCATTTAAGCTTGAATTTGACGATGAGTTACTTGAATTTTTGAATTATATACCGTATGTTTTACTACAGCAATTTAAAGTTCAACAGATTTGTTATATTTTCTTTTTTAATTACGTACGTACATGTTTCATAACTTCTCAGAATCATACATGATTCCTGAAGCTTTGATTGCTTCACTGATCACGGATCTCGAACACAAATGTTAATCTATATTTTAAACATTTTTATTCATTAATCATTTAATTGTAGTACCTAACAACAACGAGACACGAGAACAACGAGCGTAAACCGTACAGAGCGGACGTGTTGTGAGTAATTTATTAAATACACAAAATTGCGACCAAAGGATTCTAAGTTTTACGACACTTGAATATAACATCTTTTGCTACAACAGTGAATAGTGTAATTACGTCTACAGTCTTCTGAGTGACGGGTGCATTGCAGCAGCACCTACGAGGTGATAGCTCCTCACACCTTCGGGTAAGAGAGACGAGTTCATTACTTTCTTAACCCTTCATCAAGCGGGGAGCTTACACCCATCGCACTGTTCACGTGTATCACCGCTGTACACAGATCTACGATGAGCGTACTACGCTCACCGACTGGAAGTGGCACTGATGTCAGTTTCGGAGGTTCTCAGCCAAACTTGTCAGTAGTAGATTCGGGCGCTCCTCCACAGATCACATTTCGCAAACGGAAGCTGTTTGACGACAATGATCCAATTAGAGCTGAATTATCCGAAATTCGAAAACAAATGTCCGAGATGATGGCCATTCTAACATCTGTTAAAAACAACCAAACGGACAACACCAATAAACTTTATGAAGAAGTAACGTCTATAAAAAACCATATAAATGCCATAAATAACACAATGGAGAAAATTGCAGTTGAAAATAACTATCTTAAAACTAAACTGATAGGTTTGGAAACTATCACCGAAAACTCTCAGAAAAAAATTAATCTTTTAGAAGCGGATGTTAATAAGCTTAAAACCTCACCTCCTATAGCTTCAGCTGCCCAAGGACTCCAACCACACATAACTTACGAAGAAATGGTAAATGAACTACAAGAGCGGAAGTTAAGATCCAAAAATATCATAATACATGGAATAGTTGAAAGTACCATAAAGTTGGCCGCCGAACGACAAGAATATGACAAAAAAGAGACTTCAAAAATAACTAAACAAATTTTTGCTGACTGTCCCCAATCAGAAAAAACATTCCGTCTTGGAAAATACAAACCAGGCCATACGCGAGCAGTTAAAGTGTGTTTTAACTCATCGGATATACCAAAAATAATTCTACGCAACAAAAACAATCATGATTTAGCCAACATCAAAATATACGCCGATCAAACTCTCATCCAGCGAAAATACTTGCAGACCTTAATAGATGAGCTCCATAAACGTAATTCTAATGGAGAGATAAATCTTCGAATCAAGTACATCAAAGGTATTCCGAAGATAATAACTATGACGGACAATCAACCAGCACTCGTGGAATCAACTTCAAAAAACTAACTTCTCAAGGTAAAATCACCTACCAAGTCATAAACAAATATACAGATGTTGAATATGATAAGAAGTCGCTAAAATTCTTCTACGTTAATGCTGGGAGTATCGTACGGCCCGGCAAATTTGATGAATTACAATGTATTCTTGCATCCTTTCAAACTTCCATGCACATGATCATACTTACTGAAACCTGGTTTAAAAATGAAGAGATGGCCAAAAGATTTCAAATACCAGAGTACACACATTACTATAACTTCAGAAAAGACAAACGAGGAGGTGGAGTTTCTATCTTTGTACATAACAACTTAAAGCACCACCCAGTGGAAGACTACTGCATTCAACATAAACACTACCTATGGATACATGTTAGCAAGTTTTGTTTGGATATCGGTGCCATTTACAACCCTGATAAATCCAATATGGCTGACTTTATCGAGACCTATTCCCACCAATTAGCCACCAAAAGGAGAGCTATAGTTTTTGGAGACTATAACCTTGACCTTTTGGATCCAAATAATTTATATACTCGAAAATACAAGGACACGCTAAAAGAAAATGGCTTCAAGATATTGAATAAAATCAACGCAAAGTACTGTACACGTGAAACGACGACAACCAAGACCATTATAGATCATGTTTGTTCTAACTTGAAAGACAATGATTTTCATTTTGCTATCATAGAATCTGCGATGTCAGACCATAAACAAATATTCTTTGAAGTAAAACGTTACCAACCTACTCCTCTCAAGAAAACCAACTATACTGCCATTGACTACACTAAACTGTATAAGTATATTGAGGACAACCCTGTAAATACAGAGAAAAAGGTGTACGAGAGACTTCATGAGAAGATACTTCTAGCTCTAAGTAAGAGCAAAATTATTAAAACTAAAACACTGAATCCACCACAGATAGATTGGATCAATGGCGATATTATCCAGGCTATTAACAACAGGAACAAACTATGGAAGGCTTTTAAAACAAATGCATCAAACTTAGAACTAATGAGAGATTACGAAAAAGCTAGGGTAGAAACAATTCGAAAAGTACAGAAGGCAAAAAGTGAATATTACCTAAAATGTTTTGAAGAACGTATGACAAAGCCTCGTAAATTGTGGAAACTCATCAACGACCTTTCCAAAAACAAAATAAAAGATAACAATGGGCCGGACAAACTCGTAATTGATACTAACACTGTCACAGATGAACTTGAAATCAGCGAACAACTCAATACCTACTTTTCAACTATTGGCTCAGCTTTAGCAAACCAAATTCCGAATAAATATAAAACTAATAGATACGACACAGGAAACATAGCTGTAATTAGTGATGCAACTGAACTAAACCATTTAAAACCGACAACTACTGATGAAATAATAAAAATAATAGATAAATTGGATCCCAATACTGGCTCTGGTATCGATGGTATAAGCACTAAAGCGATTAAATGTATCAAAAACTTAATATTAGAAGAACTAACGTTTTGCATCAATGAAAGTTTTGAAATTAGCACTTTCCCTAGTAGCCTAAAGATAGCCAAAGTTATTCCTATCTATAAATCTGGCAACAGGTTTGACCCTTGTAATTATCGTCCAATTTCGGTACTTCCAGTTATCTCTAAAATTTTCGAAAAAGTGATCTACATACGCCTGGAAACCTTCTTAAAATCAAAAGACTTTTTTTATAGTAGACAATATGGTTTTCGTCCACTTTCAAATACTCTTTCGGCCACTATTGATTTAATCACCAAAATTAAGAATAAAATTGATCAAAAACAAATAGTGCTAGGCATCTTTATTGATCTTAAAAAGGCGTTTGATACAATAAGCCACGAGATATTATTACAGAAACTCTTTAATATAGGTATTAAAGACAAAGCGCTAAGAATATTAACATCTTACTTAAGCGGCCGTGAGCAAATAGTAAAAATCGGGCAACATCACAGCTCTCCTAAGTATCTTACTTATGGAGTTCCTCAAGGTTCAATCTTGGGACCACTTTTGTACTTAATTTATATCAATGACATATCCCAAATTGGACTTAAGGGCGATATTTCACTTTATGCAGATGATACATGCCTATTTTATTACGGCCATTCTGTCGATGCTATGAAACCCCAAATTCAGAATGATTTAAATATGTTAAATGATTGGTTCCAACATAATTTACTAACTATAAATACCAAAAAAACAAACTATGTCATTTTTGCAGCCAAAAACAAAAAAATAATTGAAAAATATACCACTGATCATAAATAACGAACCAATCAAGAGAAAGACATATGAAAGATATCTTGGCCTCATTCTGGACACTCGCCTGAGCTGGAAACCCCAAATAGATAAAATTAAAAATAAACTTATTTCACTGACGGGTTGCCTATTCAGTATAACTAAATGTATTCCTCACAAAGTCCGATACCTTATTTATAACTCTCTAGTCAAACCACACATTGATTATTTAGTGGAAATATGGGGAACCGCGGGTAAAACTATATTAGATGACTTACAACGAAAACAAAATAAATTAATAAAGGTTCTTTTTAGATACAACTTCCGTACTCCCACTAAAAAAATATACGAGGACACCAAAATAATGACCATAAAGCAAACTTATATATACTACACGTGTATATTGGTACGTAAAATATTAAACAGAAATATTCATACTAGTTTATCTTTTACAACAAATAGTGCTCGGCAAAAAATGAAACTAAGAAACGCTACCCATCTTGTAACTCGACCAGCCAGAACGAACTATGGAAAGAAGAATATTGAATTTGAAGGAGTAAAGATATACAATAAATTACCATTAAATATAAAACATGCTACTACATTGACTAAATTTAAAAAAACATTGAAGAAACACATAGCAGCTACTTATTAGTTAATACATTATTATTGTACTAAAACATTCACAATCAAATAAACTAATAAGGATAAAAACAATTCTATATGCACATAATATTCGTATGTGTGCGTATGTGTGTGTGTGTAAGTGCATGCAGGGTATGTGCATGCATGTGTGTGTGTGTGTATGTATATGTATGTGTATATGTACGTCTATGCATATGTGTATGTTTTTATATTTACAAATATAAATCTTAATAAATAAATCAAAAAAACTAAAAAAATAAAAAATAAAACAAAATCTCAAGTCTCAATCAAGTATCAAAAAAAAAAAAAAAAAAAAAAGAATTCAGTAATAAAAGTAGAAGAGTGTACTTACCATCTGGATGCCACATCTAGTTAATAATTTCAAGTTACATCTTTGGTTCAGTTGCTTGGATTCCCATTGTTTTCTGTGTTCGAGTGTTTTGCAAGTTCGTAATCTTACGCAAAATATATTTGACTACCCACTTTTATTTTATATTATATTCAAACGCTCAATGGATTTATTTTGTTTACTTTTATGTATGTTTTCTCAGTAAGTGAATTTTGTAAATTCTTTTGAGAAATAAAGATTCTTAAACCATACCTCATTACTCACATGGTATAAGAATCGCGAACGAGTCGAGAAGAATCGAATTATTGACTTACCGATATCAAGACGAAAGGTGATTGGTCCAATTTCATAGCTTCTAGTTGTCTAAAGGTCGGTTCCAATGTTGTCCTAAGTGGTGATTTCAGGGAAGCTTCTACTAATGCGGCTAGGAGTTGTCTTGAAGATGGTTCTACCCCCAATCCTGAGCTGAAGGCCGCCAGCGCCTCACCATGTCGGCCAAGGCACTGAAGAGCCACACCTATAAACAAAATTATGTTTTTAAAGTGAACTAAAAATTAACAGTTACAAGATTTACCAGTAATTTGTAGTCATATTTCGAAATTGTTCGGTTAATCGACTGAATCGACTTTTTTTATACCAGAACACTCAAAACACGTATCTAAATCAACATTCTCAAATTTTACGCAATACTAAAACTGACTATCTCTCATTACATTCGTATTTCGGTCACAGGTAATAACAGCAATAAAGAGAGAAAGGTCCGATTAGTGATACCTACGTACGAGTACGTGTTCCATCCGAAAGTATAGAAGAAAAAATATAAAAGAAAACTATTATAACTGTTCATACATACACATATAAGGGCTGCCAGCACAGCCAACTTGCGTGAATTTAATTACTACTACGTTACTAAACCATTTTGCGAAACTTTTAAGGACAACAAATCAATAATACAATAAATCAAATTAGAATCATATCACATCATACGCGTAGTCCCTTATTACTGTTTTCAGATCAACCATTGTGTTAATAGCTTATTTTTATTAAAGCGTGACATTTAAGTAATCGGGTTAAGCTTCCCGGGTACTCTCGATATATCTTAATAGCGACCATATTAATGTACTTGCTACAATATGTTATATCAAAAGCACTTGACTGCCTCGGTGGTGCAGTGGTAGCGTATGAGACTGCTAAACTCAGGTGTCGGGTTCGATTCCCTGGTCGGACCTAATGTTTGTATGATCTGCAAATATTTGTTTCGGAGTTTGGGTGTTTTCTATTAATTATTATTCAAATATGTATGTATTACTAATGTATGTATTTACAAAAAAAGTATATAACTATTCTATCAGTCAATCTAGCTTTCATACTCGTAGTACAAGCTCTGCTTAGTCTGAAACTAGATGGCGTTGTGTGGCAGATGTCCGAAAATATTAATATTATTATATTTTTATATTTTTTATCGCATAGGGGGCAAACAAGCATATGGGTCACCTGATGGTAAGTGAGTACCGCCGCCCATGGACACCTGCAAGTCAAGAGTCACAAGTGTCAGGCGTGGGGAAGGGTAAATAAAAAATATTTATTTATTTAATTATTTTTGCATAAATAACAATTTATTGTACAGAGGCGGACTTAATGCCACAGGCATTTTCTCCCGGTCTACCTTTGGTTGATGGGGAACTGACATCAAATTTATGTCATAGCTACAGATTTTGTAGCCCTCTGGCAACCCTGGAGCATAATTATAGTCACTTTTAATCGTTATGTGATATACTGATGTATCTTCAGTGAAAGCTATGATCTAAACAAAGGAGAAAAAACTACACAATGTCACGCAACAGGCACAATACGAATATGTTTTGCATAATGGCAATATGCAGAATTAATATGCAAGAATGCGACTAAGCCGACATGTATTACTACATAAATGTGAGCCTGTTTCATTGGTTTTGATGTGTACAAAAATATGTGGTACGTTGTGAAACACAGTCACTCGTGTTATTAATAATAGTTAAAGTTTTACACAATTGTAGTTATTGAAAAGACAGACAGCCACGAGTATCATCGATAAAGATATCTAAATCTATCTATCTATTTACGAGTGTATTTACAAAAATTAAGTTGGTTTGTGTACACCTCAAAAACCTGAAAAATTCTGCACCGATTAGCTCAGGTTTTTATCTACTTTTTGCAACCACAATGTGTCACAGCGAAGCGTGGCAGGGTACAGCTAGTATATATATATATATATATATATATATATATATATATATATATATATATATATATATATATATATATATATATATATGTAAATGTTAGGTTTATCTATTTATTCCGTCATTTTTGTTCCCACTTTCTCACCAATAAAATCACAATGTGCCATATTTAAGCGTGTCAGACAGCAGCTGTGTGTAGGGGGAGGAAACTTCGGCCTCCTCGGCCTCGGTAACCTTACTCACTCGGAGAAATGCAACTAAAGAATTGCTCAACACCGGTTTTCTGTGAGGCAGCACGTGGCATCACTCCAGTCGAGCTGGCCCAAAAGTGCCGAAGCATTGCCTTAAATTTAGTTAAAGATTATTTCAAAATTTACAGTAAATTTAGTCAATTAATTAAAATAATAATAATAAGATTAAACTGAATAATAATATTATAATGAATGAGTGTAATATCTATTTTCTCTTCTGTTTATTTTATGTAATATGTGTTGCGATTCCTACCTGAAATAAAAGTATTTTGTTTATTGCTCTCTTACGGTTATTCTATACACCGTCTTAATCCGACCATAAAACAGCTACTTAATTATAATATATTCATATACGTAACAATGTAGTGATAGCCTAGTACATAATTATAGGGTGTACGTTAGGAATCGACTTAATGTGCATGTTAACCGGTGAACGTGCGTATAAACGTCTGATTTTAGTTAAAATGGATAATTTTACTTCATTTATAATGAAATTAATGTCTATTAATTTGAATCGTTAAGTTATGCTGTGGGTTTAAAGGGGTTATTATGGTTAGCAGATAGTTAATCTTGAATGAGTTTTAGGATTAAAAGCAGATACCCATGTTCGATAAACAATCTTGCTAATTGAGAGACAATCAGTTTGAATGTTGCTAAAATAAACTTTGACTGTCTCAATAGGTGTCTAAAGTAACATAAGTTGTTGTGAGCCGACTTCAAAAATTTGGTTTTTATTTTTTTAATGTGTTTGTTACAGGATATATTCGCAATTTTATAAACAAGGGTAACTTAAGGGACGGAGAATACAGTTTATTACAATAATTAAATTTTGTTATGATTTATGCACATTGAACTCAGAGATGCCGGTGGTATATGTATATAAGGTTAAATTTATGAAATCGGTTTCAAAATATGTTTCTCGGTGGCAGAGCCTTCAAGTACCTCATCGGAAGTGGCAGGTTCGATTGCCCTCAATGAAAATATTTATATTAAGACTATGTCCATTTGCGTTGGACTCGTTATTCTTATATGTATGTATGCATATGTTTACAAAGAAGTACCTACCTAAGTGCCTTCATTATCCGTGTTCTAGAAACGGTAGAACAAACGGACGTACTAAGCGTCGAAAAATATATCCTAGAATATATTATGTTACCTTGTCTATAGTAAGCTTTAGGCCAGTTGGGGCAGAGCTCCCTAGCGCGCGTAGCATCTTGCAATGCTGCTGCGAACTGTCCTTGCTTTAATCTCGCCGCTGATCTGCGAACAAAGCCATTATTGCTATCACTAAATATTGTTAATATGTAATAAAAACAAGTCAACAGACTTGACTAAAATAACATGTAACTTCTATTCTATCTCTATTCTTAATTTCTATAAATGTTATGTTCGCAATGCTTAGGTTTAAATTTTCAAGTAAATAAATCATATAATAAAAAATAAATAAAATATATTAAATTTTTTTACGCTCACCTATTACTATAAAGTATATGGTTGGCAGGATCTAGCGTTAACGCGTCGGTATACAACGCGACCGCAGTCGCGAAGTCCCCGGCTTGGCACGCCGCATTTGAAGCTCGCACCTTCTCCACGAAGAGAGCTCGCGATGCCGCACCCAGGGACGCCGAGCCCGTAGGCTCCACCTTAAACAAACACAAACACATCGTTGTTATGAAGAAGGGCCACAAAACACTCAACATACTAAGAGATAAATTGCATCTTCTACAGTAATGATGAGATCGCTTGATGAAAAAATAACTTCAGCAATAAAATGATATATTAATTATGTATTAAAAATAATGTAAATAAATGATATACTTGATATAATTATGAACAGATACAAATGATCTATAAAGCGCAGTCCATAAGAATTTACTGCCTACATGTGCATGTTGTAAGGTATAACGGTTTTTTTAAATTGAAAGAGAAAATCGAATTTGAAACCTAGCATAAACTTCGCTCTTTAAAAATGATCGTGTGTAGTCCCCGCGTCATAAGTTTAAAAGTAATTTTATGCAACCTCTCAACTGCCTACGTTTACGCTAACAAGATGTGTAATGAACGATTTACATGCTTGCTTTTGACGGGATTTCCAATTAATCGAGTCGTACGTGACTTTTAATGTACATTATCGATATTAATTTCGATATACCTTCTACTGTTATATTCGATGAATATTACACTCTACAATCGATGTGGGTTATAAAGTTCTCGATATTAATTGGTTTGGAATTTAATTATACTTGTTGAATTAATGTTCTTGTACGGCAGAGTCTGTTTCGATTTGATGGTGGTGTTGTATTCATAATTTTTAGTGCCTATGGTCACAATAATTGTATATCATGCCTTTAAATTTTAAATGATAAGAAAAACCTATTAGATTACCACCTGATAATGGATACATATCCATACTTAAGATACGTGCTTGTTAATAAACTTTTTTATGGTTGAAAACTGGCAAATGCGGTAGCTTTAAGAAATTTTATGAGGACTGAGCGGGGGATAGGACGGTACGAGGTGCGTAATGTAAGTCTGCACTGAAATCTGGTCCGTTGATCTAGTATTCCAGTAGTAGTATTAGTAATCCAGACTGTTGAGCCAGAGGTCGATGGTTAGATTCAGACCCAGGACTAAAAATTGTGTGATGAGCATGATATTTTGTACTCTATTTTATTTATCAATGGGAGAGGACTATGTCCATCAGTGCACTGCGATAGGCTGATGATGATAATGTGTGTTTAGAAATATAAAGGTATGTTAATCAACAGTCTGGTCACCACGGCACAGGCTCTACCTAGTTTGGCATCAGAAATGATGTCCTTCCAATTAGTAGTCAAGTATATTGAGCAATTTATAAAATAACAAAAACAAACGTGTCTGTAGCATTCACTTCTAAGAACTTACACAAAATGTGTTTCATAAATATTCAGAAGTAAGAAGTCAAAATATTTGTGATTTTAACAAAAGACTTATAAAAGATTTGTTGGTGCCGACGTAATAATAGTAAAAAACTACAAATGACAAACTGCTACTGAATTCCTTAAAGCCTCCCCTTACGTTGGTGGAGCGGTTCTCGGTCCATTGTGTTCCGTATACGTTCGCGTTAGTTTTACAATGTATATTATTTTGTCTCATTATACAAAAGTAGATTAAGATCTCGACAGCTGCCTCCGAGACCAGAGCTGCGTGTTTGTTCGATACCGATTACGACTAACAGCTGTATCATATTTAGGTCTTGGTCTCTGGAACTAGTTCTAGCCAAAAATACAAACCTATTTTTATCATAGTAAAAACATACAAAAAGTTATATAAACTTTATATGGTCTTAAAATGGTGATTTCAATCAACCTTGTGGCTTAAAAATTTGTTTTTAAATTACAAGAGTCATAATTAAATACTCCATGTCCGCTGCAAAACAAATTATAAGATAAGGCTCGGCAAGTGTACAAAAAAGGTTTAAGACATCGAGGTCCGTAAACTCAATCAGAGATCCCTAAATATAAAGTATTTTAAATTTGAAACGGGCGAGGAGGCGTGAGGCGCATTCACCACCTGCGCTATCTAGCCGACCGCATCGGAAGAGAGAGTATTTTTTTCTCACGAACCGCATTCTCTTACCTTACCGTGAAACAACCAACCATTGATCTTCCTTTTACATACGCTATACATTACGGCATCACGCATTCCACCATTTTACTCTAGATTGTGTTACCGAGTAATGTATATTGCACAATGCTAAGAATGTGGCTTTATGTATTAGTTATTGAAGGGGCGGAGATCGCCCTTTTACCTTACAGCCTGGTACACGTGATGTTTCCTCATGAAAGAGATCTTTGTGCTGCAACAATGACAGATTGACTCAAAAGGTTATAGTTTAATGATGTTAAAGATTTCTGTAAACATGAGTATTTTTAGAGTACAACAGTGGGAAGAACAACATTTTCCAAAGGTCTTATTACAGTTAAAAGTGAATCAGAGACCATACGTATTCTCTTAACAAGAAACGAGTATGGTATGGGATGTTTAAAAATCACTGATGCCTGTATTGTGAATAAAGTAAGTAATGTCACTCGTACAAATATTCTGTTAATAACATAATCTATGCTAATATTATAAATCTAAAGAGTTTGTTAAGTTGAACGCGCTGATCTTAGGAACTACCGGTTCGAATGGTTAAATTCTTTTAGTGTTGGATAGTCCATTTATCGAGGAAGGCTATATAAATTCACAAAAGCGGAGCATCAATGAAAAATATGCATAAACGGGCAAAATACATATCTTTTGAGAGAACACATGAGTTGACACATAAAGTAAAAATTATACCTAATCAAAATAAATATCATGCACTGATTTATTTTTTCTCTTCGTTTTGTTTTCTGATATCTTTTTACTTTCTGCCTATTACAAACATTTGTTTTAAGTACCGAAGTTTACTTTGGACTCAAAATGGGACCAAGGAAATATCGAATTACCTATGTACATTGGTGGCGTTCTCAGTTTTATGGGATTTAGTTTCTTGTAGTCCTTTAAAAAATTATGATCATTTAATTTTTACACGTGAGAACGTACGATAAGTGTACCATATACGGAGAGTTTGCGAACCATCATTATATGAACGTTTATCAATGTGCATCGTGGAGTATCCGATGGGTACACGCACAGGTAATGATCGCCGATTGTTTCGGCCATCTTGAAAAATGATCGAGGTAATCGAGGCTTATTCGCTTTATTAAAATTTCGTTTAAAGAGGCGCCTGATAACCGTGCACTCGACGGATTGGGTATTTTTTTTTTTTTAAATGATCTTTCATTTATTTTATAACGTTCCTTTCATAAATGAAAAGATGCGGACCGCCCAGCTATCCTAAGTGGATGTCATATCGGTGGAATTTTTGATGTTACCGTTGTTAATTAAAACATACTCAAGCATTATCCTTCGATTAATCAAAATGTTGAGTTTGCGAGTAGATGAAGTGCCGTGTAATGTAAATACATGACCGGTGGGTGTAGGTACGGTGTACATTAATTAACAAAGATAATTGAAAATAATTATCGTTAAAACTTGCAATTTGTCAGGTTTTATGATAAGATATGTGATGAATTTTCGGTATGAGACTTACAATTGTACATCAGAGATAAAAGTCACACTAGTATTTTCTGAATTATCCCCGTTATTGATTATAGTGATGTCTGCCACTGCAACCTGAATTTCTTCAGTACTACGATCGAAGCACAGCCTTTCTGAATTTAAATTACGAGTAGCTAAAGAATTATCAGCGACGTCCTAATCATCCTTTGTTCACTGGCTTACTTTTCACCTACTTGATATACTCCTTCCAATTCGTGTGTACCATTGTGTCTCCTTTCTAAGGAGAGGCCTATGTCCAGCAGTGGACTAGTATAGGCTGTTGATGTGTGATGTGATGTGATTGTGTTGTAACATTATGTTACAACAAAGCTACTCGACCGGAGTGCTACCACGGCCTCACAGAAAACCACACCGGTATTCTGTCTGTGTGTTTTCTGTCTGTCTGTCTGTAGGATCATCACAACATTTAAACTGTTTTTTTTTCGGACATCGGTCACAACGCCATCTATTTGGTCCAACCCGGGAATCGAACCCGAAAGCTCAGCACAGCAGTCGCATACGCTACCACTGCGCAACCGAGGCAGTTGTCATATGTATGATGTCGTGATGTATGCATGAAAGAAAGTATTTACATTTTGTGTGTATATTATATGTTTGTATCTTTATGTATTTATGTTTCTTTTTTAACGTATGTCATCATTAACGGTTTTCATTAGGTCTAGAATTTCTTACTCACATTTAGTGCTTCACCGTATGGTAAACTTTTAAATATACCTGCCACGAGGCCTGCATTTGTACATTACAAAAAAATCCACAAGATCGTTCTGCAAGAGAATGAGGATTGGCAACATAACATTCATGAATATACATAGGAACTCGCAATAATATCTCCATACAATTTTAATAGATATACATATATAATTTGTATAAATAAATCCATCAATTCTCGGTATAACGAGTCAGGCACATTTATCATAGACACAAAATGTGTTCTGTGAAATCATCTGAAATTCAAGGCAAGCTATAACTTCCTATTTTATGGGCGCTGACTAGATGCGTGGTCACATTTGAACTGTACGAAGAGAATTACATGTTAAAACACATACATGACCTATGGGACATAAAACCTGTATAATTTGCGTGCATATAATATTACCTTCGATTGTCCTATCTCAGCTCTCAACGATTCAACACGTGAGCGGACAAACCAATTCGCTTTCGATACAACTTGCACTTTTTAATATTCTAAAAACTACGTTTGATTTAACTGAACGCTTTTATTATTAGACGAGTGAGCTCCGTCTTGTACAAAACCTGATCGAAAAATTTATCGACACTAAAGTTAAGGTTGTGTTGTCTGTAGGTTTTAAATGTATTAAATATACCGTGTAATCAGTAACTATTTGGTCAACAAATTTTAGTTCTTCGATATCGAATGTAATCTGAAGTTGGAATATAACTAAGCTCGGGCGCGGGAAAAAATATGTTGGTTAACTCTAGAGCTTTTGTCTTCGTTTGCACGTAAGAACTACCTCCATCACGTTTTTATGATTCTTACGTGATATAATACAGCTCATCCACAGGTGCCATCACTTCTTGTTATAAACAAAACTTAACAATGTAACAACTCAAGAATAAAAAGTTTTTGTTAAGATCTCAGATTTAATAATATCTTATAATAAGATCTTAAAATCATTCCTAAAATATTTATTTCCAATTATTCTGTCTTTACTTATATGCATATGAATGTTACTCCTTAGTTTTGAATTGAGGGTGTTGTAAAAAGTTTGTGTATCTATTGCCTGAGCTCATTGGATCCTTCGCCCAGGTAAAACAGTAAAAAAATAAACCGAATAAAGTGGCGTCGTCGGTCATCCTTTGTCTATTTTTTTTCCGATTATTTTTTCATTTTGGAACTGGGGATAATTACGAAATTTTTACCTGTTCGAAATAAAACAATTAACATGTGTTGTGCCGAGACAAATCACACAATAATTTGGGACCGGATTCGGGTAATTTTTTGATGGTTTAGTTGAAAGTTTTTTTGTGTTTCTTTACACAGTCATACATTTTATGGGAATCAATCTTTGAATTCACTTGGAGGTGCGTTCCGCTCATAAAGCATTCGTTGTAGCCGGTACCTAAATTAATTGCATATAATGACATCGTAAGTGGATTTTCTATTGTTGGTTTGAAGTGGGGAAAGTTATTTTTAAAAGCTTTTATTTAAATTGTTTATTCCTGTTGTCCGATTGGACTCTAATTTCGTGTACATATGTATCTTCGGTGTCAATACAATAATATGGTCCCATGGAGCTGATCTTATGAGTGAACCGGATGGAGCTGGAATACGGTCATAGAAACTTCTTACCTAAACAAGATAAACCCATCGAGATAGGGCTCATTTATTTTATCTTGGTGGTTACTTTGGAGCTACATGATATCCAGGGTCTATAAAAGCTTATTTTAAAATATATTTTATTACAATAAGTTATATACTTAAACCTCAGGTTGATAGTAAATTATTGAAGAAAAAAGAATCAAATGCATTTAACTTCCGCGCATCTGCTCACTTTGGCCTGAAGGCGTGGGTCCCATCACGACTTCCATACTTATTTGTGTAATCCAACCAAGAAAGGGAGGCCGGCAGTACTTATAAGGTTGTGTCAAGCTCGGGTGAATTTTCTATTTTATTGGGTTATTGTTGCGAAATCGCACACAAACCTGGCGGATTCCTGGCATTCCTCGACAATTACTATTCCGTGAGTGAACCCGCACTCTCGCTGAATGCCCAGAGACTGGTCTCACCGTCAAACGTCTGACCTTTAACTCTTTGAGACACCGATAGTCGAAGAACGTTTTACTGTAAACAATGTCACAGTTTTGTTGCTCTTTGTTTTTGGTACAAAAATGCTTTATTGATATTTACCTATAGTGGGTATTAGGTAATAACAACAATTATAACTTTTATCCCAGAGATCTGCGAAATCGACTCACCTCACCAGTATAAGTATAACAGGTTAATGATTAAATTTTTGAAAAATAAGTTTGATAGTTTTTCATTGATAAATGCGCTCTTGCTTTTATTTAATTATACAAAAGTTTAAAACATACAATACGAAACAAAATAAAACCAATTTCAATTATAAGAAAGTCAACATTATTCTTTACATTTCAGTAAGTTGGCATAACTAATTGAAACAAATTAATATAATACTAATAATATTCTACAACATTCACACAATGCCATCTAGTCCCAAACTAAGCAGAGCCTATGGGTACTAGACAACTAATATTAATACATCTATACATTTTTTCTTTTTGTAAATACATACATATTATACATAGAAACACCTAGACCAAATCAAACATTAAATGTTCATGCACACAAATGTTTGACTTGAGCGGGGATCGAACCCGAGACCTTTGGAATAACAATCCGTTACACAAACAACATCCAGTCGTCATCAATGTGGATTTTAATTCTGTTAACAGCAGTTTCTGATTACATATAAGTACGACAAAGATAATGTCTTTTTAGTTTGATAAAATAAAAAATCTGAAAACGACGACAATGCAAGCTTACTTTCTTTTATAATTTCAATTTGTATTATTTAGGAGTATTTAACAGTTCACTAGTTTTTATAAAATATGTATATTCTTAAACGGGCACTAAAGTTAAAATCTTAAATCCTTCAATAAAAAATCTTAATAGCATTATGAACTCGATTGTAAATCGTGGTCATAATTATTATTAAACGCCTATTAATTTTAATAATTTCTGTTAAACCATTGGATTTAACACAGGAAATTACTCAATAAAGTATTCAATGCCATAATGACCACGATTGTCGGCCATAATGGTAATAACCACGCTTACATATTTCCCATTGTATTCTCTTTTAGGTAACATTTAAATATCTCCGTATTTACCCAACAGCTTTAACGATGTAATGTACCTACACTGAGAGTGCTCTTGGACTCCGAATATGCAAAATCCCATATTGATTTTGTTATCATTCAAATAAAATTAGTAGCAAATTGATTATTGTATCGTAGTATTGAGTAACGGTAAATACTAGGACTGTAATGCCTTGTAAGTTTAAATGTCTATGGCAGAAGATCATAAACTAAGGTCTATGATTTATAGGCAATAACGTTACTGTTTTACAGGTTTTGTGATTATTTAATAAGTACCGTGAACTTGACTCATAACTTTATAGAGATTTTTAGTTTTTTTTATAGTCCATAAATATGTGATGGAAAATTTATTTTATTCAAATAAGAAAAAAAATGCTCATCAATTTAGAAAAAATATATACGTTATAAAAAAGGAAATTTGAAGTAAACACGCCTAAAAACCCTATTAAATCTACACTTAACAGCCTCGGGATTATGATTGTCTTGCAGTGCGTTCTAGACTTTGGCGACATCATCGTCTCTGTCATCACAGTCATCGACTCTGCGTCCAGTAGTACGACAAAAAAATTGGGAGAATTCAATTAACATTACCATCAGTTCAGAAAATACGTCTTAAGTTAACTTTTCCCTTTCCCTAAAAAAAACAGATATTCATTCGCAGAATTAGGCTATTTAAAAAA